TTGGTCCATTTCCCACTGGTTCCAGCATGACTATGCTTCAAGTGCTGTCTGAAATGGTCTGCGCGGAAGAATTTCTTGGCTTGGTTGCATTCACCAAACTTGTGCACGTGATTAAGATGCTCAGATCGCGCTTCCCAGTCGGCAGGGTTGGGGAACTCTTCACCGCAATACCCACAAACATCTGCCACGGCTGGACGAGTAGGTGAGGGATGGAAAGCTGCCTCGATCTTGGCCAGAGTGGCGCACGACCAAGAATGACGGCGTAGATGAAGGGAGTTTTGATGGCGCTCCGCCTCGTTCTTATTCTTGAAGCGATTGGGACAATACAGGCAAGTGTACTGCTTCTCTAGTTCGTGTGCTCTATTGACAGGGTCAGCGTGGTCAATCAAGGGTGGGCAGACCAAATGGCGGTGGGCAAGCGAGGATCCATGCACTTACCGTAACTCATCTTCACTGTCGAATTTCTTGGGTTTCTTAGGGCAGCATTCGCAAATATAAGCCCCTGGTATGCGGCTTGCAATTGAATTTTGACGCGAGTGTAGCATGCTCTCCGTAGACATTTTTCGTATTTGCGGATGCTCGGCCTCTGAAAAGCCCCGTTGATGCGGAGGTCGCGACAACGACCCGCGGGGACTAGGGTCCAACGACCTATTAGCTGCATATGGCGAGACTGCGCCTAACTCTGTTTCGCCCAGAGGCGACAACGCACTGGGCGATAGGCGCTGATCTCCGCAATAACTTGCCATGCTACTTGGAGCGGTTGAAAAGCCAAAAGAGGAGCCAATCGAGCCACTACGTTGACTTGCGGATCCAGCGGAGGACAGTGAGTTCTGGGTTGACTGAAAACGCGAAGCTGTGCAGTTCCGGTTGACGAGCATTTGCTGGGAGCGACGGTGGTAAAGGTCGTTATGGCCAGTCGGAATGGGGCGGTCATCGCGGGCGGCTTCAGAGGGCGGGGACGAGGCCCGCCGTTTCAGGCCACCCTTTGGGCCTAACTGATAGTCCTCTGACTCGGCAGGGCTGCGCTCGTTGATGTTCAAATCGCGCATTCCATTCTCTTCCATGCCAACAAACTCAGGGTCCGAAAATATGCTATGATCGTAGCTACCACGGTGTTGTGAAGAAGTTTCGTCCAAGGGACCTGGCGTTGAGATGCTGCCGTAACGTGATCTATATGAATCCGCCGAATCGAAGCCGGGACTTCGCCAGCCGCTGTAGCCAGGTGATGTAGCCGGTACAGTCAGTGGCTTCAGTTGGCCGTTGAGCTTGTGTGAAGAAGCGTGTGTATCGGTGGCGGGGTCTTGGGTGTTGCCAGAGGGGAGTGGTGGTGCAGTCGTCCGTGTGGGTGTATTCGGGCCGCCAATTTTCGAAAGCAGTTGTTTGTCGTAGGCTTGCGATGAGTTCTGGAGGGCTTTCTGGCCGAGTTGTCGCTCACTCGTAAGCCTGTCGCTCATTGTTAGTTACTCAACTGGCACACAAGACGACTGAAATGAGAAAGCCAGCCATTTGTATGCACAAGGGATACCAGCAACCCTTGACAAGTTCTGGACCAATCGAACAGCCTGGGAATCCTCCAAGAGACCGGGATCCGCCAGAGAAATGACAACACGGCATCTTAACCAAAGACACTCAAGTGCTGCAGGGCCTTGCAAGAGCCCTGATGGTACTTGCTCTATGATATGAAGGAAGATATAATAGCGTGTTCCGTACCTGTGGTTCCCGAGAGAGGGCCGAGCTTTGCTACTACGGTCGTCTTCGCTGGTGCTGTGTTCGCTCATACCGTCGATGGATCTTGAGACGGAGGGTTCGCGGCCGTGGTTAAACATATCGAGCGAAGGCTCCCGCGGGTGGCTGCCTGTGGCTCCACCGTATAAGCTCGAGCCAGGTTTAACTGTCGCGAGCCGATTTCCGCCAAAGCCGGTATCCCTTGGGCTATTTGTGTTACCCCATTGCCAACCAGGGTCTTGACCACCTCTGACTTCGATGTGACGTGGAGGAGGCAAGGGAGGTGGTGGCTGTTCGCGTGCCTGTGAAAACGGTACAGTCAGTGAGGGATTCATATGACGTATTGTGTCTCGGATGAGGCTGAAGTGCTTTGCGACTCAACCAGGAGCTATTTCTGGCGTGATGAAGCCACAAAGTGCTCTAGACCTCTCCGTTGTATCCAATAGCTGGAGCACAGGCTGACATACTCTCGGGATAGCCATGGCGACAGCCGGGGTTGGTATCGACGGTCGGCGGTGGTGTGGTAGTTGGTAGTGGTGGGATTCACGCTGAGAATCATATACGCGAATACTCGGTGTGGAGGACATGGCTCGTGAGGAAGATGAGGTCGCCGGGGGCCCGCCACTAAGGTGCAGCTGAAGCGTACCCGCGCAGCACGCGAGCAGCGCGAATGTGGCGAGCGCGACGAGCAAGAGTGAGTATGCTCGCTACTGGATAGTGTATGCAAGCACGGACCCTGGAGTAGAATCGTTAGCCGGAAAGTACACGGACTGGCCGAAACAGGCAGGGAATGGTAGCAAGAGGGCGGGCAGAGGCAGCTGAGCTTGAGCGATTGCGTACTAACATGCAACGTACCTGTGCGGTCGGTCGAGGGGACGTACGCGTCGTGGGATGGCTTCTCGACGGCGAGGCTTACAAAAGCGAAAGCGGGGGCGCTAGCGCTTGCGGCTGTTGAAAGTTCAGCCCTACGAGGGAGGAGGGTCCTTCAGCTGAACGGGAGGGTTCTGGCCAGCACCGCCACACAACGATATTGCTTCTTCTCACCCGAAACCAGTCGTCATATGACCAGTCTGGCACAAGCAATGCAGTGGAGAGTCGTCAGGTCCTCGGAAGCGCACAGTTCCTGCTACACGGCAGCGAACAAGATGGCGCGGGAATGCGGTAGGGTCCCTAGCGTCGAGGCAAGTGGAGTAAAATGGAAAAGGAAGCGTGCTTCGCCGCCGGCGTCTTCTGTTCCGAAGAGTCGATGTTTCTGCAGAACAGAGGCACCGCTGGACAGCAGCAGCAGCAGCAGTTGGCAGACGGAGCAGAAGAAACGCCCTCCACCGGGGAGTGCGGTTAGCATAAAGCATACGCTCGAATGTCGGTGATTGGCCATGCCTGGTTGCTCCTGGCACGGAGCGCAGTGGAGCTCCAGCAGGGGTAAGATGCAACCCTTAGGCGGTCGGAGGAGGGCTCTGGCTTTCGAGAAGCTTCAAGGTCCACGCCGCGACGCTCGTCTCGTGCATAGGGCTTGCCCTTAGCGCCTCGACGTCGACTCGTAGATTGCAGTGACGGCCGACGACTTCCCAGCAGCGTGGGCGCGCGCGCAGGCGAACCAAAGGAAGGCGGAACAATCAATCGAGGATTGGCGCCCGCTCGTCCAGCATCGACAGGATTATTACGCAAACCAAGTAGAGCCGACGTGCGAGGACGTCAGGCCGGTGCAACGGTGAGAGGGCTGGTAGGGCAGGCGCAGAGGGCTGCCGACGGCGCAGGCCCGCTGGCTGACGAGGGCAGCATGGCTGGAATCTGACCAGATTGTCCAACATGCAGACGTTGCGCTTCGCCTGGATGGGCATGGGGGACTGAGGTGCAGACGGCACAGCGTCAGACGCAACCGTGTGGGTTAGACTCGAAGGCGGGTAGCGGGAGGCCAGTGCACGGATGCTGAGCAGTTCCAACAGCGTAAGCCCCTCGCAGCCTTACACTCGACTCTCTGGGCATCAGTCAGGCTGAGACGGCTGTCACCCAGATGCGCTGATCTGCTGATCCGTCGTCCATGGCCTGCACTCAATCACTGCGGGGCGTACACACTATGCACCCAATGCACCCATGGTATTTTTGGTACCTGCACCCGTCGTACAGTCCGAGAACGGCTCCCTCTATCTGAGCCCTATCTCGCTGCATCCGGGGTACCTCGTGCTGTCACAACACGAGTATACTCCGGGGTATCGGCTTGGGGCCGAACCTACTATTGCAGTCGGAGGGCGACAGTGGTACCTCGTAGCATTCACCGGCGAGTGGGTCCTGCTCTGTGGTCAGGTAAGCGGCGCTCCAGCTGCTTTGAGACAGCGCGAACCAGCAACGCGTGCGTGATGTCAGCGACTTTGTCAACCTCGTCGGCGACATGGAATATGGAATTGGCAACTACCGCTTCTCTACCCGTCGCCAGAGTCTGATGCGATTCGCCGAGATGCGGGACGAGGCGGCACCGCCAGCCTTGCGAGCAGCCGGGGAGTACAAGCAATTCGCTATTTCTGTCTCTCGGTAACGGCTGCAATATTGCCTGTCTCACGATGCCAGCAACACCACACCACCGACACGACTCAAAACATGGCATTCATTGACCGCTGTCCAGAATTCCGGCTGCTCGGGCAACTCAAATATGCTGGGGGCGCAGCAACAGCGGTCTTAGCCCTTCATAGAACTGGAATTTGTCGATTCGGGCTATAGACTCATCCATGTTAATGGTATGCAGTCCCTGATCCACTGTGTGTAGCTCCGCGGTCTTGCGGAAAATACCGCTAACTACAACGACACATGACTCTCTCCATGACAGTTATTATTGCAAAGGGCTTCACTAAACACTGTGAACTACGGGTCAGTACGGGCAAGGCGTGGAACATAGTCCATGCGCCTATAAGGCTACGAACTACTAGCTCGGCAACGTAATTGAAGCTGGTGGTGTCTTCACTGCGATGCTTGGCCGTGCCCTCTGGTATGCAACTTTGGAAACTCATATATCGATGCAAAGATTTTGAAAGTAAACACACTACGTAGCAGTCAATCGAGTGTGTTGCAGCATCTCCAAATTTAACAAACCACTTATCTGATGCAATTACGGGTGGTCCGCAATTTTGGCGGGCACGCGCGATCAGAGACCCAGGACCCTCGGCCAAAATTAGACCCTCTTCTTGCACACCTCCAACAACTCGCGCCTCTTCCAAGTTTATTGATCGTCATACCCTCATCTCCGGCGTCCGATTGTTCTCGGAGCCCTTTCTTTGGCTATCATGGCGCTCATCGACAGAGTGCCCGGGGACCTGAACCTGTACATTGGTGGGTACGTAATGTCGACGGTCGACCATCGTTTCGCATCTACCCCATGGCCCAGGTCTGGGGTCAGCGGACTACTGTCTAACCAGTGTTGCGTAGCATGTTCACTCTGCGACGGCGCGAAGCCCTCCAGCAAGCCAATATCACGCACGTCTTGTCGGTATTGCGTACACCACTAGATCAAGACTTGTTTGGCCCCTTCAAGCACATGGTTGTCGAGGTCGACGATGTCGACGACGAGAATCTATTGGAGCATTTCCCTGCTACAAACCGCTTCATCCAGGAGGGGCTCCAGGGAGGTGGCGGAGTCTTGGTGCATTGGTAAGTCAACATCCCGGTCAAGCTGAATGAAGCCTTGCATATTCCAACAACTCTGGATCGCCGCCGACGACTGCCCTGCTTGGCAATTTTGCCATCTTCACAAAAGATGACCGCCCCAAGGCGTCGTCACCAGCATGCAAGTCATGCAGCCGCATTTTGCTTTCCGCGCGTCCTGCATCCTCTTTTCCATCTTTTCTCGCCTTCCGTTTTCCGCGTTTTTTTCTCCGAACTACACCGCCCTGTCGCCACTCTATTTGCCCTCAGCCACTCGTATCAATATGCCAACCACAACCTCTATTCTAGTGCTATGGGCAAGTCACGGTCGGCTACCGTCGTCATCGCGTATTTGATGCAAGAGCACAACATCAGCCCATCGGAAGCTCTGTCGCACGTTCGGCAAGCGCGATCCATCTGCGAACCAAACGAGGGCTTCATGAAACAGCTCGAGCTATACGGTGAGATGCAGACACCAGAGAACGTCGATGACACCCCGGCCTATCAGCGCTGGGTCTACCAACGCGAGATTGAGCTGAGCCGAGCGTGTGGCCAAGCTCCAGAGGCGGACAAGATCCGCTTCGAAGACGAACATGTCACCGATGAAACTTCCGGCTTCGAATTGAGATGTCGTAAATGCAGGTAAGTGGAGCTGTGCGAGAGAGATTTGATGCCACCCTACTGCCTGTTGCCGCCGTCTTGCTCAGCGCTTACAAAATTTCAGACGAGCATTAGCAACGTCAACGTATCTACTATCGCATGGGTCCGCTTCCTCCGTCAGCGATGAGACACCGGAAGCTAAGAAAGCCTCTTCGCAGAACTGTTCCCACTACTTCCTAGATCCCCTGTCATGGATGCGCCCCGAGCTCGAACAAGGCAAGTTGGAAGGCCGACTCGAATGTCCAAAGTGTCACACCAACGTAGGCAAGTACGCCTGGCAGGGCATGCAATGTAGTTGCTCAGAGTGGGTCGTCCCCGGTATCAGCCTGGCGAAGGGTCGAATCGACGAAGCAAGGAAAGCAAACTTTGGTATCCGTCGGCCACCGGGAGCATCAGGTGCGCCTCCGTTGGGGGCAGCTCAGGCAAAGGAGAACCTATGAGATGGTTGGATGAGGTTGCCACGTGCTGTTCGGTGAGATGGAAATGCGGCTCGTACTTAGCGTCTTCACCGGCGGCTTGTACCTTGATCATATACTCAAGATGGATATACCTCCGATCCACTCACCACCACGAGGTCGATGGTGAGGTCCTCTTCCGATCGGAAATAACACTAGCCGGGCAGCGACAGGCAACGAGCAGTAAGCATGATTGATCGATGGATCGCTACCAATCGATCCAAATCCTTTCCGCCATCTCGAAACCCACGACCAGAGCACGGGTACGCCGCCCGAGGGGTATCAATGTGCTATGATTCATAGCGAATGAATTAGTGATACTATGTCATCGAAGTCCTTCACTCCACATCTCCTGATAGCTATGAGCCAAAGGTGCTTGTACCCGGATCATTTCGCCTATCAGCGTTTTCAAACTCCGTCACTGTGACACCTGAATAGTCATTCTTGATGACATGACACGCCCCCAAAGTAACAACGTCCCCATAACCAATCTCTTGCTTGACAGACCCCTCTTGTGACAAAGGCCGGCCCGAATGATACTCATCTCAAGCATGAAGATTGTGCTTGAGTGCTGCTTTAAGGACACGTGCTCATTCGACTCCTATATCATTCGTTCTGTATAAGTTCACTATCATAGTACGTAGCATACAAGATAAGACAACGAAACCACCACCACCAAGGGTTCATCGAATCGACGTCGCACGGTTGCGTTGTTGGGACCACATTCATCCAGCAGTATTATAGCGCGCATGACATACACCTGACTTTTTCGCAACAACACTACACGGCATACGTCACAGCACAAGAATCTTTGAAATGGGTAACAGGTAAGATCGATGCAAGTATAGAAGAAGTGAAGTGTATTTTTCAGAACGCCTGATATGACCCCCCTCAGCCCCAAATAATGAAGAAGCTATCTGCTTCGTATGTGCTCATAACCCGTAGGCGTGTACCAGACCCAACACCAAAGACTATAAAACACCCCAGCGCCATGCAGTGAACGACAGTAGAACAACATGAAAGCCAAAGAAAGAGAAGTAATATGAGCAAACTGGTATCCGCGCCAAGAAGAATACAAAGGAAGGATAACGCCGGTTATCGCTCCCATGTACACGCAAGAACAGCTACGCAGTCATTCATCCTGACATCTTACACAGAGCCCTCCGAGCTCGTCGAGGCAACAGCCTCACTCTCCGCACTGGAACTCCTTGTAAGCTCCTCACCACCCTCACCACCCTCGAGACCCAGTCTCTCCATCTCTTCGGCAATCTCCTCGTACCACTTGCCGTGGCACTTGCGATCGACCTCACCAACCTTACTCAGCTGCTCACAGATATCCGCAACTTGGGATACGAACTCAGGTAGACCCGTAGTAGCAAGCCCCTCCGTGGCTGTACTGGCAGCCTTAACGCGCTCACCAGAACTGCTAGCGCTAACGCGGTTGAAGATGTGTGTCTTGAGGCGCTGGAAGAGGACTTTCATTACGGGGTCAGACAGCTTGCCCGCTTCGGCTTGGGTGAGGAGACGGGTGATAGTGGAGGAGAGCTGGGAGCGTGTGGAAGGCGGCATGTTGCGGGAGGACTCGAGGAGAGAGGAGATCTTCGAGGGCGTGGTGGGGTCGGACATGTAGCCGTTCTCCTTCAAGACCAGCCACATCTTGTTGGCTTCGGACTTCCATTGCGCGCGCACGTCGCGTTTGAGCAGGTTCTTTGCTGTGAGTAGGATACCGCCGATGGTTGTGATGCGGAGCGCGTCTTCGCGGATGCGGGAGATGCGTGCGCGGTCCAATTCGAGAGTCTCTGGTAGCTCGGACTTTCTGAGCGGTGGTGTAGCGATTGCGAGGTCGACGAGACCGCGGGCATAGATCTTGTGTGCTGTAGGGCGGTTGATGGGGTTGGCCTGACTCCAGGGATCGCGACGGTCGGCTTCGGTGTGCATGTTTACGGCTGCGCTGCGCCACCATCGGCGAGTGCGATCGAGAGTGAGGTTATGCTCTTCCAGATCCTGTGTGAACATGCGCTGTTCGTAACCAACAGCCTCTTTGATGAGTGTCGGTGCGGCATTCATCAACAGGAAGTTGGAGTAGTCTAACGACAAGAGGTCGATCACATGCAGGATCTTGAAGAGCTTTTCGATCATGCTGGAAAGCTCACCCTCTTCTTGAAGCTCCTCAGCAAGCAACTGAACCTCAGTGTCTCGGAAGGGCGCGCAAAGCTTGGGAAGAATGCTAGCAATGAAGTCGAAGAACTTTCCGTATGAGAAGACACCTTGACTGCACTGCCTGCCAACATGCTCAGGGTCCAAAGTCTCCGAGATGAGTGTATGCATCGAGTTGCCAGGTTTGAGAAGTCGCAGTAGCTTTCCCCTGATGTTCTCTGCCATCGCGGCAGTCCAGTTCGTGCTGTCGCCCTCCTCAAAGCCCCGTCGCATCGCGTCGCAGAGCTCACGGTTGAGAGCATCGCGGAGGTCGGCCGTCGGCGAGGGGTCGATACGGTAGTCTTTGTCGATGGAAAGCTCGTGGACGAGAATGCGATTGTCAGGCACAACAGTAAAGACCTTCGAGAGCGACTGTGCCTGATGGCCCTGAGCCGTGGAGTCGTGAATCTCAGATTGTCCAGAAGCTGCGAGCTCCGAGGCGGCCTCAGCCTGCTTGGCCGCACTATCGGCTGATAGTGGTGACTCCGGTGTTGACTCGCTCGCAACGCGCGGTCGAACAGTGTCTCCGGCGAGCCTCTTCTTCGGCCTTGACCTCCGGCTTTCGCGAATGGCCTTCCTGATCAAGGTAAGAGCCTTGTCGGGCCCCGCCAATTTCTTAATTCTACTAAGTAGAATAGCCTGGTTATCCCTGATACCATTCCTGTACTCATTTGCGACCTCATCCACCGTCGCATCCTTGACGCTCTGCCAGATCTCGTCCAGGCTGACGAATGAAGCCACCATTGTCTCGACGAGCGCAGAGGAGTCGCGAGCTTTCCAGTCGTTGAAAGCGGTAACGAATGCGCTATGGGCTAGCAGTACGGTCTCGGTACGCGTGGGGGAGGGGGTGTATGAGTTGAGCTTCGTCAGCTTGGCCAAAGCAGACTCGAAGCTGATAACAAGGTCCTTGGCTTTGGTGATGAGATCCTGTTCTTGGTCTCCGTCTCGACTGAAGACGTGTGTAGGGTGTCCCAGGATGAGGTATGAGGAGAGGAAGGTTCGGACGGCTGCGCTGCGGGAGGCCGGGTCTGCGTCGGGCAGTAGCACAAACAGTGTCATGATTCTATCTGTTGTCTTGAGTAGCTTCTCGTCTGCGAGCATGCCGGTGATAACTTCGAAGCTGGTCTCCTGGACCATCTCAATTGACAAGCCAAGTTGTAGCCACGCTGCGACGATGTTGTGCCTAACTTTACCCCTCCAAGCAGCTTGGATCCTCTTCGCAGCGTCTTCGGTGGACACGATAGGGCGCTCGGTTCGTATCTTGACGTCGGCCGGGGGTGAACTAGCAGTCCGTGGCCGTCTGGGGTTGCGCTTGTACTCCAGCCTGCGTTTCTCGGCCTCTGCAAGCTTCTCCTCCATCTCGGTGCGGTATCGTCGTTCCTCGGCGGCCTTGCGCTCCTTCATGTCTTCAGCGATCTTCTTGGCTCTCCTCACTTCCTCAGCACAGGAAGCCGCGACCTGTGCCAGATGCTTCTCGCGGGCCTGCTGCGCTGCCAACGCCCTCTCTTCACTGTTCGAGCCACGTGGGGTAGCCTTGGCCAACGCGGCGCGCAGCCTAACTTGCTCAGCATGCGCGGCGCGGTCTGCTAGTCGCGCTTTGCGATCCTCGAGTATAGAAGCACGGCGGAGGTGCTGGGCAACATGGTGGCTCTGGCAGCTGTTGCGAAACGATCGATTGGACGTGTGCGAGTGTGTCGACGACAGCGAGTTTCGGCGGGACGAGGTGGCCGATGACTTGCGACGATTGCTGGCATGGCGGTAGAAGCGGGCGGCGATGCGTGGTGGTGGAGCAAACGACTGGCCGTTCTCGGCGTCTGATGAGAGGATCATGTCGGGCTCCTCGGGGATGTCGTCGTTCTCCCGCTGCAGCTGCGAGCTGACCAGCTCCAGTTCGGAGTCGGTGAGGGACATGGTGTATGAATGCGACAGCGCTCTCTAGCTCAGGAGTCGCGCGAGTGTGTCGGGTTCCTTGGGCAGTGTGCTGTGGAGGGTGTTTCCTAAGATGTGAAACAGAGCACGGTCTCGGTGATGCTTTTTAGTGTAACAAGCCACAAGCGGACGCAGTAAGGAATAGCGAGTATCTTCGCGCAAGAGTCAAAGATGGGAACGGGAACGAAAGGTGCAGATGTCCGTGGGGAGCGTGGTCACCGGACGAGTTGTATTGATGGATGATTGATAAGCTGTAGTGCCCCGAGAACGCCTGAAGGTGGGCACCGTGCGCACTGCAATGTATACACCGTCGTTATTGTAGCAGAGTAGATGCGCGCGACGGCCTCTGTCGCATGCAGAAGAAGGTGAGATTGGTGGCTGGGGAAGGGTCCATGAATCACCTGCCTGACCGGAATACAGCATATGACGAAGTGAGGCCGCATACTGCCAAGACCTGGTAGCGGCTGAGCTGCCGAAGTTAATCGAACCGCGAAGATCTTCGATGCAATCCACGTCTCCACTCTCAGCCTTACCGACAGTGCCCGTCTCGTTCCTCGTCCAGTCGGCCTTTTTGTGCGCTAGAGATGATCGTCTGTGGTTCTCTCCAGCCTGTATACCGAAGGGCAGGATGTCCACGTCACATCAGACCTCGAAATACTACCTAGGTGGTGTCTAAACTCGCGTCTTGCTTGGTCGCTGACCCTTGGAAATCTCTGAAAAGAAAAGGCAGGCTGGAAAATGGTACACGCGCTATACTAACACTATATTTCAGAAATACTGCGAGGTCCTATGCATCACAGCGGCCTCCATCGGATGTCACGTGGTATCGATCCATCGATAACTACCTAGGTAGGTACTCG